GCATTTATACATTTATATATACAAATTTTGCGCAAAGCTCATGCGTTTATACAAATTTTTGCGCAAAGCTGTAAAAATATTTCAGTACATTCTTGCCTCACAAACTTTCTATAATTCGAATGAAGAAAAGAGCTTGGATTGAAGAACTAATTTTAGGCTTCAGGTTTTGCATAGAATATAAGTTTCTCCAACAAAAATTCAAATTTTCAATTACTACAGCTTTTCTAAAAATTTGTCAAATCCATAGTTTGCCGGAATGCAGAATTTCAGAGATATGGAATCTTATTATTGAATATTGGGTCTTCATTTTAATGAATACATTTCCAGGAAATTTTTAACTTGAATAGGATCACTAAGAAATCACTTCCAGATTTTATTTTTCATTGGGTTTTATTTGCAAGGGAACTCTGATAGCTATTTCTAAGTGAGACATGGTTTGGTGGTTAGACAGAGCTAGCTATTCATTCTGAACTTTGCTCTCAATTTTAGAGCGATTCGTCGTTTGTATTTTTAGTTTTCTGTTGTGATTTGGAGCCTAGAAATAGAACTTTCATCAGTTTACATTACTGTGTAATTGTCTTAAATTCTGTAGGAAAATAACATGTTCCTGTTAAACATATATTTAACTTTAATGAATTTTTAGCTGTATCATCGATTAATGTAGTTATTCTAAACAAAATTGCAGTGAAATTGTGTATTTCAGGATAAACAGTATAAAATAAAATGATGCTCTTTGTTTTCACCTCTTTCATCATCCTGCCATTGTTGAGCGACATCACTTTTAACAAATATAAAATAAGGTGGGGTTTTCTGCAATGAGCATTGCTCAGTTTCTGTTAAACACCGGAAATATGAGCTATGCTTTAACTGTTACATAAATAAGGCGGTCGAAAGATCTTCATAAAGTGACGGTGAAATTATCTCTCAAGGTGACTTTTGCGTTGAGTTTTCCTTCGCTTACTGGTCATGCAGATTTAAATTCTGCCCCACGCCTCCTTTTTTTTTGCTGTTGTAGACTTATTTAGAGCGGAGTTGAAAAATCTTAGAATTTTCGAACAGGCGATTCCTAATGGATATAAGTTTGCAGAACTCTGTTCTGTTTGTTTCAGTGAGTCCTTTTAAACAACTTAGGTTAGGTTAGGTGGAAGTTCTTTCCAGTGACATTTATTGCATTGCAAAAACATTTAAGTAAGGTTTGCTACTTTTAAAATTAAATGCAACTACAAGATTGGTCTCTCAAAATATCCTCATATGACTGAGTACTCGTTTTATCAGATACCAATGAGAAGGAAGGGAAATCCTGTTCGTAGACGAGTGGTGAGAAGACTAAGGTACCCAACTTTTTGGTCTTTACAACTTCAGTTTGTATCTAAACAAGCGGTGACAGAATTATATTTTTTTATCTAAGAAAGACTAAGAGAGAATTGCACAGTAAGGAAAACGGAAATGTACTTTATCGACTGATTTTTCCTGTGATACATTATGTTTTCTAATTCAAAATGACCTTGAAAACTGTTCATATATCTTTTCTCAGCCTGCTTAAATGCATGCTTTTTATTCAAACGAAATAAGTCTGCAGAATGTAACTCCTCATTTTCTCTTTTCTTCTCGAAGAAGGGGTAGGGTTATTCCTTCTGCTTTTTTAAAAAAGTAAGAGATCAAATGACTTACTGCAAATTCAGTTTGATGTATATCTTTCATGCATAGTATTTCTTAATTAAGCATCTTAAATACAGAAAACGAACTACAAAGGTAAAGAAGGATTCATCTCAAATGAATATTTTAGGTTACATTCGTCCGCATCAAATTTCTATGTTTTTGCCAATTAAGCTTTATATTTCATGTGAAACATTAACAGATATATTAAAAGTTATCAAAAGCAACAAATTTGTGATATATTTTTGCATTGAGGTAGTAATTGGATATACCGATAAGGTGAATTTAGAATAGCGTAGCGGATGACGTCATCTTTAAAATTTCGGAAGCATGAAACTGTGAAAAAAAAAAAAAGAAAAAAAAAAAACAAATCAGTGAAGTGGACTCACACTCTTCTCCAAATAATTAACCTGACGATTTGACAGCTTAGCAATACTATCTACAAATAAAAGTATCTACGAATAACGAATCATGTAATTTCCTGAACCGAATTCGGGTCTTTCCGTACTACAGTTTTATTAATTTCAGTTTATATATTATATATCTCTTCAAGAGCGCTTTTATGACCCATGTTTTGCAGCTAATGTTGTTTATAACTCAGATCGGTGCTAAATGTTAATTCGATCGAATGCTAATTTTACCCTATTTCACAGTAAACACACTGAAATTAAAGCACGGTATGGATGTATAAGCAATTATTCTTAGTTTGGTTTATTAGTAGTGATGAGATACTATTTAGAAATATAAGCAGAGCGGTAAATTAACACATCGATCCATTTGAGCGTAAGTAGTGGATAATCAAATCAATTTATCATCTGCTGTTAAGTAATCCATCCGTAATTAATTATTGTAATGCGAAGTTTCAGCTGCTAATCTTTTACGCTTCATGTTACTTTCCTAATTATTCCATTTCTATCAATAGGTTTAAATATAGTCTATTTTTAGATTTTCTTTAAAACTTTGTGAAAGAATTGTAGATGAACTTTCCTTGAAAAGTTATTCGTATTTAAAGAGTATTATTATTTGATAATAGCGCTCATGATTTGTAAATAATTTTCACTTTATAAATACAACACTGCAAAAGATTACTATATTGTTTCCTGTTTGGACAATAATTTCAATATTCAGCATAAAATTTACATTGATTTCTTCCATGTAGCAATAACATGATGGAAATAAGTCGAAATCATAATATAATGGTAGTCGATAAATGGACCGTTTAGACAATCCCTAGCTAATCGGTTGACTATGGTACGAAGGAGTAACGCTATCCCTTAAAAAAAACTGTAGTAATCACGTCCAAGGATACCAAATGGTTTTTTTAACATTACTAAAGTCTACAGTTTGTTAATGCGTTACCTAAATACGTCATTTTAGGATCGCATAGAACGTTAAAATATAGACTTTTACCTTTGAGTGAAACTATGAACAATGAGAACTTTAAAAATTTGATTAAATTAGATAGTGAGGAGACATTATGATTATTCCATATAAAATAAAACTTTGATGGTTAAGAGCTGATAGATAATCAGTCATTTCAAACTGTTGAATTCATTGTTGAGCTCGTTTTGCTGGGGCTAGAAATTATGCCTCTTTGATATTTAAAAATTCAAAAAATCGTTATGCGTTTTTAAAGATAGTACATATCATCCATGGAAAATAATTCTATCCTAGTTCCCAAAAGAAGTCAGAAGTTTAGATTAATTTGTAAACGAATCTTTTTCTGGGATGCTTCAGTAATCTTTTCAATTGAATAAGCGCATTAAATGAAGCATATTTGTGTATATTTCACAAGCACTCACGTGCATTTGTGCTTATTTACGTTACGTGGGCGAGAGTTTTCATATGATTTCTGCGAGCGGTTGTTACTCAAGCTATGATATATTCATTTTCGCATGGTATTTGCTTTACGGAAACAAACTTCGCCAATTTTCCTATCAGCAGTATTCCTGCTATGCTTTCCTATCTGCAATCATGCAACACTCTTAACACATATTATCCATGGCAGGTCTGCTGTTTTAATTCCATCAAGTCCCTTATTCAAGGAAAAATGAAAAATTGTCTCCTTTTAAATTAACACCAACGAAGTTAAACTTGAACATTCCAAACTCAAAAGAAGGGTAAGCGGAAGCTCACGAGAATATCGCCACTCATACAAGTTATGACTAATTTCACTACTTCAGTTGAAAATTCTTAGGACTCTAAATAAAAGTTCCCTAAATTATCGTGCAAATTCATTGTTTGAAACAAATTATATGTTTTACAGATTATTTGACATTGATCCATCTTCACTATTTGCAAGAGAATTGAAACTGATCCATTTAAAGAAACAACGAAGCAACAATTTACGGAACTGTTTTTTTTCACCAGTTCAATGCCTTCTACCATTCGATGATGGTCGTTCAGTGGAAAGTGACGCCAAAAGACGCAGTTAATTTCCCGATTGATTTCGTCTTTTTTGCTCTATAAGTTTTTGGCCCTTCTTGGAAGCTCAGAACTAACTTTCAATTTATCTTCAACTTCCATTAAAAAAGAAAAAATCTTCATGTATTCTGATAAATTATTAGTCTTTTATTTTGGAAAGTGGAAGGATGCTAAAATTTCCCTTTAAGCTCTTTAAAAATTGTTTCCATCAGAGTGTATATATAATGGTAACATTTGCATTCATCATATCATTCGGCCATTGATGTCCAGCGAAAGCTATTTCGCTTTTGCTACAAGCAGTAAGTATGAATATTACGTATCCCAATAAAAATTGTCTCAATTACTATAGGGTTATGATTTTGAAAGCAAAAAGCAAAGGACACGAAATAGTTACTCATTAATACTTGAGATATTAAAAATTAATCAAGTGAAAAAAAAATGCTAATGGATAAAATAGGAGGAGCGAACAACAACTAGTTCTATAGTCGTAATCACCAAGCACTACTCTAATAGTAAAACATTACATAATTAGTACTAATAACAGCAGCAGTACAAAATGGTATTAATAGCATTAACAACGATAATTAAGAGAATAATTATTAGTAAGAAGTTGAATTACACGGTTAGAAGTATTACAATTTATAATTAAATATCAGTTCCAAATTAACAATTTGTTTGCTTCAAAGTTTCGGAAGCCAAACTTCCTGATTTTAACTGTTCAGATTTCCTTTATCATAAACTTGAATCCTTAGCTTATCAATTGTGAAGGCCGAAACTCACCGATTTATGAATTGAATTCAATTGTACGATGCCAAAAATTAGATACCATCCTGTCCCTCTGCCTATTTTTTAGATATATTCAAAAGTGAGGAAGACCTAAAAGAAGACTTTTTTTGGTGGAGCAACTAACTTTTAATGGTCTAATGGTCCAGTGGTATTCTCTGCACCTCATAATGTGCTTTCTGTATCAATTTAATATTTTCCAAACATTCGCCTTCGGCTACTTCCAGTTGTTGTCCTTGATCAGCAGCGATTTCTACGTTGTCCTGAAAAAATGATCTAGGGGTTGACCATTTTCTCTAATCGCAAAAGAAGTCATAACTGACCATCAGCTGCGTAAAAATTATAAAAAGAAAAATAAAGACAAATAAAATCGTGATTTGTTTATTCTAATTCGTTGTTCTTTTCAAAAAAAGAATCCAAGGAGAAATTTAAAAACATAAATGTTCAAAATTAACGAAAAACCAAAGACATTAATATCATTGTTTAAAAACATTAAGAATGAAACTTTCCAGGGACTAGGACCTCCTGAAATAGACTCACAATTATTTCAGCCATCGACAACTCTCACAGCTAGCCATTCCAGATAACAGTTCCAGTTGCATGATGCAATTCTACTACTCCTGCGTCTCGATAGGTTACCCAAATAAGATTTGCCATGATTTTTTTCAAAAGAAGCTATTCTAATCTACTGTTGCTTCTCACACTTTAGAAGAACCGTCCAGCAAACAACTGAAGACTTACTTTCAGCACCACACGATGTCCGAAATACACGTCACCCTCAACTTTTAGTCGTTTTAATTGTCGTAATTGTGGAATTTCACGAAACCGTTTTTGAAATTCGGAAACCTTGCTGAAGTATTTCGACAGCTCGATGACTGGAACTTTGCCTTTTCTGACAAACTGCAGCGAAAAATCTTCTCTGACTTCATATAAATCACTCATGATAGCAAGTAGGTCCTGGGTATTCTTGACAGGAAGGAAGCGAGAACGGGGCACTTGAATACCTGGAAAAGTTGTTAATTTATTATGTGAAAGCGAAATTTCACTCCATTATCGTTCTAAGATATAATAAGCCACGCAAAGTGTTTCAGGGAATACTATCAAACATACATGATTTAGGGTAAGAGATAATATGGATCAAATATGAATACTAAGAGATTACATAAATTTGCGTAAGAATAGCCTGTCATTTCTTTTCAATATACAAATGAGCCTAGAACTAAGAGCGGTATAATAAGGAATTTAGGATCAAAGAGGGCCAATGACTTAGTATTATATTTGACACCACCACTGCAGATAATTTTAGTTACAGTAAAAAAACAGAAAAGCACATACTCAACACCCTGTCGAAATTTCGAATGGTACCACCTACTGACGTTTCCAATTGAATGACGAATTCGCCCGTACTGAGAATCTTCAAAAACCATACACTTTATCGCTGATGGCATTGGGAAGCAGCTTACTTCAACATTGATAATGAGGACAACTTGGTCATTGCGTACCCTTCCTAGTGGTACGTAAGCAACAATACCGACTTAAAGAGTATACATATCAGCAATACATGCCGTATATATATATATATATATAACAAGCTAAGCAAGATGTTGGTTGCTAAACCATTTCAACTTTAATTATCAGCAAGTGACAACTTTTCAGCTTTTCGATCTTTCATTGAATATACAGTTAGTTTAGTTTTCAACTATATCTAATCACTGACAATTCCGCCCACATAGGAGGTTTAGGTTTCACTTCACAACCATATTTGCAAATAGATATGCCTAAGCTTCCCGAATCCAAATAATGTCCAACTATTATAAGGACAAATGATAAAAACGCGAAATGAATGATCCCTTAAAAAATAACAAAAAAGAAATCATGAAACCATTAGAATTTCAAAACACTTACTGAATATTAAGATAGAATAGTAAAAAAAAACCTCAAACCTTTCTGTTGACAATAATTTCCATTTTCATTTCAGCAAGTTTTTTTTTTATAGCCCGTAAATTGACCCAAATATTGTTGGTGTTGAAGATTCTGAAACTTTTTTAAAGTTATGATTTAAGGATGGAGGGGGTACATCTAATTTTACATAACAGAATGGAACAAAGCGAATGAAATATAATAATGAATAAAAAAAAGAGATAAACCAATAAAAATCAGTGCTACAGTGCATAGATCAGTAGAAACTTTTATATGTATATATAATCATATACTTGAAGATATCCGTTGAGCAGAAGTCATTGATATGATCTTTGGGTACTTGTGGCATTTCCAAATGCATGATATATCCATTTATCTCAATCAAAGTGCCTCCCTGAAGGGAAAGTTTGAAGATATTAATCTACAATCACAAAAATGATAATAGCGCTTGGGTTAATTGCTATTCAACATTTTCGTTTCAAAAAGAGAAACTCTCAAAGACCAGCAAAAAGTGAACCTTCCTATCAACTTTGGTTTTTTCGGTGCATTCCATAATATATTCCAAATCACTTTCTACCATTAGCTTAGCAATTCGCAAATCAATTGTCGCACCAGTATTATCAATATTTGAGATGAAACATATATCACGTCCCTGAGCGAGCAACTCATCCAAAACACCCGTAAATTGCATCGATTTGAAAATATTTCCGTGACCCGGTGGATACCACCCGAAAACACCGAATTATAGAGGAATTAATTAACTGTACTTCACAAAATATAGTAGCCAAATGATTTCTGACTTAAAATTTTAGATCTATAATGAACCCTCATAACCAACTGAATAAGAGATAATTCGGAAAATTTAATAAGTGGTAAAAAAATCAAACTGATTCATCAAAAGTAATTTGTTTGTCTTTTTATCAAAATAGTTCTAGTCCAATGTCCTATTTACATATTGTCACCTGGTAACTAATAATTCACAAGTGAAACATTAAACGTGCAGAAATCATTTATTGACAGATGTAGTTCAGATTTTTTTCATGGCAGCAGCATATGATGATCTTGATCATAAATTATAATTTGATCGTATTAAATATAAAATGAGACTTAATGCTTTAATCGCTATCTTTCATCATCAGTAGTGAGAAGCACTGAAAAATGAACAACGAATACGAAAACAATCTCTTACCCTTCAACGTTTTCACTTCCATATTTGAAAGGGACAGGCATTGAATTTTCCACAAAAATCCTTGGACATTTGCTCTGCAGGAATGTTTTCAGATTTACCTTGCGATCAGCCAAATATTCACAGACTGCTTTTTCAGTATTGAAACTATTCATTAAAATTAATGGCACTGAACTGTTGTTCCTTTTATTAAAGTACTGCAAAAGATGAACTGAATGTTTCCTTTCCATCAGTAAGTTTTGAGGAAATGAGAGAATCAAAGTCAATAATCGAAAACAACAGTTAGACTTTATTTGGATACAAATCTAAATGGATAGTAATAATTTTTTTTTTTAGAAATCGACAAATTTTCATTAAATTCTTTAATTGCCACTGCAATGAATTGTGCATCCAAGACTTTCAATTTCCATTAAATTTTTCTTTGAACTATCATGGACAAAATTATATAACTAAACTGGACATTCTTCAAAGCATTCTGTGAGAAAATTCTCATTGGTGCTTCTATGCAGTTGAAATAATACCTGTACATGACCAATGGCAAAATCGAGAAATGTAAGCCCCTTGCGCACTTCGATTAATGACTTGGGGCCATCACAACCCATTGTTGTTCCCAAGCCACCATTCAGCTTAATAACTGACAGATGTTTCACAACCTTGTCTAGTTCATTTCCAGAACAGTGCGGTAGTGATTCATAATTTCTTTGAAATTTCGAACTTAATGGCTTCATTCTAGTCCAATCAATAGTACTGGGTTCTCTAAGATATTGGTCAAACAAGGATAGAAATACTTCTGCATCGAACTGGGTACGCTGTAAATAAAAATATGAAAATTTTCGCAAAGGAGGTCACAATTCAATGTGAGTTGAAAGAAGTGTAAACAACGTACTTCATTGTTAACAAAAGCCTGTTTGAACTGTTCGCCAACATTTCTGGATAATTTTTGAGCTTCATTGCTCCAGCACTGATTCATTTTCTATCTCAAATGGAAGTTGTTTCAATACACTCTAAGCAAAGTGTAGAATAACACCAAATTCTCGACAAAAGTATAGTAGTTCCAAAGAGATGAAAGATAATCGTGTGTGATGTCATTGAATACGTTAAACCATAGACTGCAGCATTTACACTACCAGCATGAATAACACTGCATGGGAATCGCCGTGCTGCCCTGCCAACTTTCTTCTATTAAAAACTTCCTTTACCCTTTTATCTTTCTCATCAACTTTTTCGAATGAAAAAATATGTGGAAAGTTTTTTATCAAAAACTTGACCAATTTCCCCAAATGAAATTAAACAACAGCTTCAAGAACCAAAAAATATAACAAAGTCTTGTATAATCAAAATCTCTACTACTCAAGCAGATTAGAACTTATGAAGCTCACAAAATGCTCATACACATCGGCATTAAAACCCCTTTATGTCCTAATTATATGGAACTGTATATGCATGGTATCACGAATATACGTAACCAAGTTATTAGCAAAATAGACTGTTTGAGAGGCATATATCATTAAACAAGATTACCCCTAACGAAAACCAAGTGCAACGTACGACAACCAAAACTATAAAAATAATTCTCTATGGAATTTTTACAGCCAGAGACAGTTACTATAAAATTTTTTTGTTGAATTCCAGCATCATCAACAAGATACACAGCAAAACAAATTAATAACAAAGAACAAATTATAAAAAGACATCAACAGAAAAATAATCTACATATTTGTAACAGACTACAGTAAATTATTTTTCTAAAAAAAAAACTAAAAACTTGGGCTATATTTCGAACTTGACTCAATAGCAAATTATTTCTTAAAAATTTAGTGGAATTTTTATGATTCAAACAGCATACGAATGAGTCCTTTTTTTAAATATATATAATAAAGTACTTCAAATAACACAGACGTAAAAAAATCTCGTCATCGAGGTATTTTATAAAATAATACCAAAGAATAAATTTAAAAGCCAGAAATCAGAAATTGTAAAAAAAAAAAAAAAATGTATCAGAAATTGTATTTTCTAAACGCTTACTAAAGAAATTCAAAATGTATATAGCTCTAGCTTTAAATGGGACCGTAAGAGAAATAACCAAATGTTGCCATTCCATTTTCTATGAATGAATCACCGAATGTAATCTTTCATCGCGAAACATGTTCAATACCGTCTTCTTTGACTCAAGTAACTCTTTGGCCCACTCGAGATCAATCACTGTGATATCACTAAAAGAAAGGAAATGCAAATGTAAAGGATATTGAAAAATATGAAAAAAGAAAATGAAAAAATTTAAGGAACCAAGCATATGCCAAACCATTCAATTCTTATTCTCAGAGAGGAGGAAAAATAGGGTAACCTTGAAACACTTTCAAGAAATAACTTCCATTAGACCAAGGAGCAAACAGAAAACATACCGAGCGTACAACTCATTCGTTCGAACAAGATCAGTAAAGATAAAGGCCGTTGGTCGAGAGCGAGACAAACAAGAGGAAGGATGAATTTTTAGCGAGGTTCCAGGTGATATTAATAAACTATAACGGTCCTGTGATCTCTCATAAACACAAGCATTCATGAAAAGACCCTGGCAAAGTGTTTTCCTGAAATAACAGTATTATTCATGCTTAAGCTTTCGACCTTTCCTTCCTTCTTTCCTCTCAAATTTTTTAAACTTGATGTTATTTATATTCTGAGAACTTCAGTTATCATCTCCTTCCTTTTTTTGAAAACAAGAAGTTTTTTCAGCCATCCAATTAACTAATATATTTATTTTTCCTGTATTACAGTTATTTGAAACCAGTTATCACCTGAGTCTGTCAGTATCACTACCGCACGAACGAAAAATCAGTGAATTTTTTAGACAAATATCGCGCAGTTGTCTTCGAATTTTAAAAACAGTATTAAGTAATCGCTGATGGACATGATTTGCTTCGCACCATTCCTTAACGAAATTCCGGATAAGTAAAAAGCAGTAAAACAATATCAAACATAACTTGAAAGACATATACAAATAAAATAAATTTGTTTTCATTAAACGTCTATACACATGTTACTAAAACCTCGGTCCAAACATCAGAGAATGTGATTAAAAAATTAAATGCCAACAATCACGAAAAATAACACAGTTAAAGAATGGACTTAAATGGCATAAGAATTACAACTCGACCAAGTTCACACGAGTAGATCAAAAAACATACAAATATAGAGAATCGAAATAAATTAAAAAAGAGAAACTTTAAGAATACATGAATTACCTCTAACTTCTTTTCTTTCCGAGCTAAACGATATCCTCGGTAAACGTTCAGCAGGGTGCAGTGATCACCTTCGGGTGCTTCAAATTTACGCTTTGATAAATTTGTTCGTTCATGACCTACAGCTGAACTAACGAAAACGGAATCAATGGACATAAATGCCACAATTGTCAGAACTTCTTCTAAACATCCATTCTGCGAAGCTGCTATCAGAGCACTGAAATTCAACAAAAATAAGTTTTGAAAAATTGGAAAAAGTAAGACAGCAAATTCCGAAGATTAATAAATTAAAATTCGAAACAGTTACCAGTAACTTACCGTGCAAAAGCTGGATCAACCGGAAATGATGATAATGTTGTACCCATTTCAGTAAGTTTCAATCTCCCTTTTTTATCAGGTTGCTTTACTGCATCCAACAGACGAAGATGTTTTTCAGCAGCTTCCAATCCTTCTTTTTTGGGATTTGAAATTAAAGCTAATGATTTTATTCGTCGTAAACCAATACGTAACAGTTCGAGTAGCACCTGCAATGGACAAAATAGAGAAAACTATATATCTAAATCTTAATTCAAGTAAAGCTTCAATCCACTGTTCTAATTACTAAATTTTATCAGACATCAAGGAATAGTTCCTACGCAAAGGATTAAAATTTCTTTAAAAATAACAAGTTATTTTAAGGCTTTTGTCTTTCAATCATACCGAATTATTCTCCAATAATTTAGAACATTTAGTTATAACAAATCATTTGATTCAACTGCAAAATTACATCACACGAATTATTCCACAGTCTCTGAAAAGAACTTTTTTGCTAAATTTTACCACAGATAAATTGGATCGTAAAATTTCTGGAACTGTTATTTTGGATAATGAATGAAAATGTTTTTCCGAATAAAGCCGATAACATTTGCCCGGTGCTTCACGTCCAGCACGACCAGCTCTCTGCGTTGCTGAGCACTGTGAAATATTTTCCACACGAAGAATATCGATATGACGATCCGGAAGAAAGGTTCTAAACAGACATAACAAATCTTTAAAAAATTTTACCATGAATACATTCTGAAAACAAACAAAAACTCATTTCAGTTTGAACCACAAAATTCATGAACCAGAAGAAAACTGATATGAACCCTTCGGGACTTGAATTCATCTCTAATTGAAATAGATATGTCCATAAGTTGTGGTCAGTGGAAGTCCACTTTTTCTCTATCTGCATGCATGGTTCTTTACAAACAAATAGTGATGCAATATTAGCTTGAATAAAAAAATAACATCCTTCTAAAGCAGACAAAAAATAATAAAGAGAGAAATAAAGGGCTTCAATTGAGGCTTACTTCACTTTTATTTTTCCACTGTCAACAATAATCCGCACACCTGGTATAGTAATGGATGTTTCCGCTATATTTGTAGCGAAAATAACTTTGCGTGTGTGCTGGAAGCAGAAAATGAATTTTAACAAATTCAATTTGTTTTTGAAAACTTATTTAATTCTTTTTCATTTTATCTATTAACGATGTGAATTATTTAAAAGCTTGATATAACATTTGGCGTATGCTACTCAAATTAATAAAACAACTACAGCTAACTATAAAATTTACAATAATGGTTTAAAACTCTGTTGTTTCCCTCTTCCTAATCAACCTTAATTAAACAATAAATTTCAATGACTTGAAAATCATACTGGTATGCCTGCTGGTTCAAAAACCCGCATTTGTGCCGATGGTGGGAGACCCGCATAAAGTGGGAGAGCTACCAAATCAGCCGGTAGAAGTCTTGAAGCTTCCTGCACTTTCTTACATGCTGTTTCAATTTCTTCCTGTCCAGTTAAAAATGCCAATACATCGGAGCTGAACAGCAAAATTCAGAGCTTAAAATTAAGCAGCAGATAGAAGTGGAAAAGAAAGATAAAAGATTACAACATAAAGTACTACCAAACTTCAATCTAGTATAAAAATTAACTGACACAACTAGATTTTAAAGAAATCACTTGCGGAAAGAATTCACCTTAGTGGTTCAGTACGATGGATTTGCAAAACCGTTGTCAAAACATTGAACACATAATCATCATCTTTTTTATCCAATGAATTTGCATAAAAAATCTGTAAAGTAAAAATCGCATTTCATATGCGCAAAATAATGAAGACTTTCTTCTTAAACAATGAATTTATTTCATTCATAACTAAAACTGGTGCCATTTCTTTTACTTAGTATATCTAATGTCTATGTTTTATATGCATAACATACAATAATTTTCTATATTATAATGTCTTATATTTTCCTACATACAACAACTAGTGTTCAATCAACGCTAATATGTTCAGAAGTTGGTAAGTTTAATTGCACATATATATTCTAAAGGTTGCATTTTCCTTCTCAAATAGTGAACAGAGATTGCTACATGTTTGATAACGAAAGCTTTTCACAGTTTAGTATAATAAATTAGCCTCTTACCTCGACTGGATAGGTTCTTCCTTGTACTATGTATACCGGTGCATCATCAAAATATTCCGAAAAAACATTAGTTTCCAATGTAGCTGACATGATAACAATCTAAAATTAGACATTGATATTTGCGCAATTCCTCAGAACTTAGAGATAAACTATTTTAAGTTACAAATAACTGAATATATTAAGAAACAGTAATCAAATAAACTAATAAAAAACGCAACTTTAATGGATTGGATGTACCTAACCGCTGCTTATAACAGAGCTTCAGCAAATATAACAAGATATCTGTATGAACAGAACGTTCATGAGCTTCATCGACAATTACAATAGAATAAGGTGTGAGTAACGAATCATAAAATGTTTCACGTAAAAAGATACCATCGGTACCGTAAACAATCTTTGTTTCATCACTTGCGGTATTTTCAAACCTCACCTTATAGGCAACCTGAAATTTACCTCTTGCTTAGTTCCCGTTGGTTATTTCATAATTTTAACCAGTTAATACTAATTTTTCACTAATTTTAGTTAAACAAATCTTCCGCTTTTAGTAAATCTGTATTGTGTTCTAAAACATAATACTGATATCGCCAACACACGACTTGTAATACAAATACATTGTATTCAATAAAGCTATGGTATAGGATAGTTAATGATAGTTCAGATCGATATTTCTTTTACAATTCCAGTGTTTCTTTTACTTTTTGCTATTTGTTGAAAAGTATTTTAAATCATTTACTTATGTTTTAGCTTTGTGCTGTTAAACAAACAACACTCACTGTATTTCTGCAAATATAAATATTACTTGTATAAAATAATTTTACCACTTCACCAAGATTTGCATTCATTTCCAAAGCTACACGTTTCGCAAGTGTTATTGCAGCAACACGGCGTGGCTGTGTAACAGCCAAAAGACCACTACCGATCAAACCTTCATTATAACAAATCTGAACAATTATGATTAGCAAAAAATGTAGTGTATTTTAAAAATTACAAGTCTGACAGCATAAGCTTTATGAAGAAGATCAACAAATTAGCTAAGAAATGTCATCGTTTTTCGACAAAATTCACTTTAATGTAATGAAATGAAGCAATAAATGAGATAGTCACATGTCATATTTTGTAGCGGGAAACTTGCAACTTGGAATTATGGAATCTCCTCTTACTGATCTGCATAATTTGGAAGACAAAAAGGTAAAGTAGGTTTGGAATTCTCTCTTTGGAAGATTTATCAACATTTCAATATATCTTTCTAAAAAATAAATTCGAATTTCATAGACAATAAGACAAGCAGCAAGATTTTGAAAACAAATCAGGTTTAGATAAAGATTCCAAAGAAAAAGACATCGTGCGTACCTGAGGAATCTGTGTACTTTTACCACTTCCAGTTTCACCAACAATGACTGATATGCCATTTTGTCTTATCACTTCCGCCAACTGTAAATGAACACCATCGACTGGTAATTCCTTGCGACGAAATTTTTTCTGAAGAACAAAAATTCTTTCTCAGATTAGAGTTACGAATACAGTTTGGAACTATTTAGCAAGATGAAATTATCAGCAACAGATAAGCTGATGACATATGGGTGACACAGAAATTTAAAAGGATACTACTAGAAGGATTTTAACCAGACATGCATTCCCTTTAAATAAAAACGTAAAATCTTTCCAAAAAATTCTGTTCCTAAAACTTCATTGCTGAAGTACCAAACTCTACAATTCTATACTTAATACGATAATCCAAACATTAAACACCTCTTCTGAGTTAGAAACCAACACACACTACAAATGTTGACATGTAATCTTACAAATCATTTGTGATACTTGTCAAACTTACTTATTAAACAGTTCCTTACTTATTAAACAGTTCCTCTGTTACTTTTAAATTTGTACTTGGTAGTATTTAAAAAAAGCCGTAAGAAAATGAATTATTTATAACCCTAACGAAATGAAGAGTCAAAAGAAGTGTAAAGTCATAAATTAACCTTAGTTACATGACACTGATCGATATTACATGCATTTTGTTTATACCGCTTCCCGCTCATAATCTCGTTTATATCCAATTACTTCGTCCAAGTACTTCAATAGTGACTGCCGACTCCGTAATTCTGAGGAAAAAGTAAGAATTACAACGACGGGACAATTACAGCTAAATAAATGATTACCTGTGACGGGACCACAGCGATAACGTAGGACTAGTTATGAGACGACGAGCAACAGAGAAAAACATAAACTAATGGTGGGCTAGAAATATATTTCGCATGATATAATGAGATGAGAAGCATGCACGGGAGGTATCCACTTATGATATACATATTCAACAACTATTGAAGTAGAGCTCAAACTGCCATCGAAGAGAGCTGCATAAGCATTATGAGATCCTGAAATGATTCCTTGTATTTTGAGAGAGTTTTCTATGCATGTAATCACTTTAAGAATCGTTGGGAAAATAGCAGCGGTCTAGTCAGCTGACTTGCCACAAAATAGTTACATTGTGACGGAGATGACTCATGCAGGTTGGTGCGAAATGAGTCTTTTTCTGGAGGGGGGCGGAGCCTGTGTGTGTGTGCGGTTGTGTCTGTCGTAGTGGGCGTTTCGTATACGCCGGGGGTGTAGATGCAGTTCTGCTGGGTCGTGTTAGGGACACAGACTTCTTGGTCGCTGGCTCATCAGAAGTCTTTCCCGGTCTCCCTTTTCACTCTCACAAATGTGTTAAGGCACGAGTGATGACTTATCAATTGCATTCATCGAATTTCGAGGAAAGGCTTTGGCAGCAAAACTGTTGTATTCTAACATTTCAATTACTATTGTTTAGTTTGTGTTGTTTGTTGATTACAGAAATTTGAATTTCTAACTATTTCTTTTCTCAATATTTTTTAATAATTGTTTTGCTTTTTAATTTAATGTAACTAATTGAGGACAAAGTGAAAAGTGAATAATGGTAGTCGAAGGAACAGTAGTAATGTGTTGATTAGAAATATCTCGTTTACATCGCTTTGTTGAGTCGTTGGTTTGTCGTAGGTTCGGTGTTATTTAAGTATTTCTCTGTCTGTTTGATTAAACTGATCGTTTAAATTTGGAGTTTCCCTTGGTCGATTTTATGCTCAGTTTTACGCTGATCTTCATTTTCTTGCTTTTTGCTGTAAAGAGATTTACATATTTTCATTAGTGTTATGTGGTATTCTTGTAAAATGGAAATAGGGCTCACTTTACATGGACGTAAAAAGCATTTAGTCAAGAAGCTATCAAGTGGTGAAACAAAATAACTGTGAATGAAAGATTAACTGTGTTTCTTTAAGTTAACTTGGGCTTGAACTTTAATTCCTATTTGTTCGTCATATTTTTAGTAGTGTGTTCTAGTTATCAGAATTATACTCGATTTTTTAGCCTTCAAGGTTGTGATATATGTTTGTTTATCATTTGATCGACTGTGTGAAATCAAATTGCCAGACATGTCAAGAAATATCGAAAGTGTGGAAAGTGTGTTAAATAACGGCACCTGTGACGGCAGGTATTCTACGAATATGAAAACTTTCGATGGACGAAATCGTCTGAAAACTGTTACAGATAGTATTGCGCAATCAGTTGATCGACAAGTAATACATTGAGCTTTTCTCTACTTAATCGTTTGCTTTTTCAGTCTCCCTGTCGTTATTGTACCTATTTTTTCATGCTTTGACAGATTTGAAGAAATTTATTTTTATTATTCTTATCCTTACATTATTTTCTTCTTGGGTTAGGGTGTTATTGATACCTTTCGTTTAGGGTTAGGATTATGCGAAAGCGCTTATTTACCGGATTATATGGTAAAGTTAAGGATCAATTGATCATGAAAAGAAACCTTTTTGCAGTATGATGGAATTTTAGGATTCGCTAATGCTCTGTCAGCAATTGCAAGAACAAGATGGTTTTGACTTTATGGATCAGAGCATGGACCTAACTCCGTATTTAAGAGATCTTCGAGGGCTAGATGACGGCGGTGAAGATCTGGAGCCCATGGTTGATAAACAAAGGGTATTGGAATGTGACATACAAATTCAACATGGTGTTTGTGAGTCTACCACTCAGTATGCAGATTTGAGAAGCATTGGTAAAATGCTACTTCTTTTCGATGTATTAGGTCATTTTATGGGGCATATTCATGCTCTGCTAATTTATTTTGTTACAGTGGAGCTGAATTCGGGGTTAAAATAGATTCTCAAGGTAACTTTTTCAGCAGAAGCTATAAAATCGGGCGCAAGTCTGGATGATGTATCGGTTGCAGTTCCAGAAACATCGGGTTTTGCAGCAAATTTCCAGCCCGTAAAAATGGAAATAACTGATGAGGACAGGAAAGGAGAGCGAGAAACTCGGCCGACAATATCTGTGAAGAAAGATATGCCAGAACAGATCGGAATCTCTTTTACACCAACTATCAAGCCTAGAAAGTATTCACTGAAGCCAGAAGTATGCTTGGACACATTCATTTAGCAGTCTTTGGCAGCTTTGAATTTGAAACTTAAAATGGAGTTGAAAATATTGAGCGGATGAGTTAATTTTCTAACATAACAATTTCTTATATGACAATATAGCTGATTATATATTTCCATCCTAATTTGTTGAAGATATAGTTACTTGATGTTTCATTTTTTTATAAACTAATAAATGCATAAATTAATTTTTTCTCTTACAGGCGGAAAAAAAAAATCCGTTGTATCGGCTGAAACGTGAAAAAAACAATGATGCTGTAAGACGATCACGTACTAAAGCAAAGCAGCAACAAAAAATGAAGGATGAGCAAATCAAGCAACTTCAGCGTCAAATTACTGATTTTGGTAAAGCAGTAAATATCAAGGATGAGCAAATCGTTCATCTTGAAAATGCGATTTGTGAAGTGAGAGAAGAAAATCGGCATTTACGTGTCGAAAATATGCGACTGAAGAGTGAATTATATCAAGCAAAAAAGCGGTATTCTGCTCGTACTGTTTAATGTGACGCTTGCTGACTGGAAATAAATATAGGTTCTTTTCTTCATTTAACTAGAGATCATTCATTTTTGTGGTTTCCTAATTTTGATTCATGTAGAATTACTGAATTTTTTATTTGTAAAATATCCGTACAAAAAATAGTATTGAAATGTCTTAAATCACCAAAAGATCATGTATCAATGATCATTTCACTCCAAGTCATGATCATAATCTCCTATTTCAGCATTGTTATCTTTTACTGAGTTAATTAATGCTTTGTTGCTAGATTTTTCTCATGTTCATCTCGAGAAATTTGCAAAGTGTGTTTTTGTTCCAGTTGGCACGGAGATTTATGCGTGTTTTTGTTCACAAAACAGATTTTTATGGCTTATCTCCTATCAGGTTATAGAGTGGTACAGCTCCGTAATTGCGGCAAGCCAAATGATGATTTGTTTTTTTTTCTTTCTTGAGTTTTCTTTTTAAATTTCCGGTTGTAGTCTTCATTTAATTCGATAAGTTCGGGTTGTTGTTGCCGGTAAAATTGCTGGAATATCGATGTTAACTTTTTTTTTTGCGGCAACTTTGCCATTTTTTAATATTAAGTAACATATATTGTTCCATGTGAAGACATGCATTTTTCTGCCGGTTGAGATATATCAATTCGGCTTTAGTTCTTGTATTTTGATAAAATTTACAAACCGGTAATTGAATGAAGTTTTAAAAAATTGACAGTGTATTTAGGATTTGAATCGTGCTCATTCTTTTTGTCGGTCTTCCAACAAAATTTTTCGATGCAAGACCGAGTAGGTGGTAGTGAGGACCTTAAAAGGGTTTTTGCAGACCGTAACGTGCTTCAATTAACATTAGCCGGTTGGCTTATCCGGTTATCAACATTGTTGAAAACCGCGGATATAATTGTCCGCTTCCCTGTGATTTCTACCACTTTTAGAGAATAAATAATGGAATACTCCAGACAGGTGCTTCTGTAATACTCCGGCGCATTTTTATTCTAGAGTATGGAATTGATGCAAAATTCTTGGGATGGGAGGGACAGCAATAGAAGGGAAATGTGAAAAGAAAAGGAATATTTGAAAGCAGTGGAGGATCGAGGTTTTTGATAGTTCGCAGGAATTCAGGTGGGTTCAATTACAGGACGAAGAGTATGAACTATATCTTATTTTTGTCTGCAAGGAAAGATTATTAAATACAGGATATGAAGTACTCACATTCTATGGATCTTTATCATACTGTTATCTTCAATGCATATGTAATTTAAAATAACAGTAAGACATGATTTCATAATATTTGCGGTGAATAACTTTTTTGTAATATCTTCGGAAACCTAGTGCTGTCTCATAGTCATTTATTTAGGTATTTCAAAAAATCATGTCAAACTGCGCAACCCACAGAGGCAGAATTTTAGTCAAAGGTGTAATGGTTTATTATGAATAATAACCAACTTCAAACTTATTTCACATTGAATCATAAGCAATCTAACAATTGCTTATATGTCTATCTTTTCTCTTGATACACCCAAGCTCGTTCATAATGGTGACTTCTTAGCCAATAAATTTGCGGCCGCCGCTTCAACATCATTTCCGCACTGTATAAGCATTGCACGAGCTGCTGCTTCTTCAAAACCAAGTGCCATCAGTGAAGCTAGTTTTGCGCTATCCACTTCCACTGCAAAACGTGATTCCAATCCATAACAAAAAAAAAAAAAAAAAAAAAAAAGCTGAAGTAAACTGAAACTAGCGACTGCTTTTTAATCTTAAACTTATCTAGAAAAATTTTACTGAGATATACCATTCGCAGTGGTCGCATTTGTAGTCCCAAATCGCTCAAGATTTCTTTGCGGAACTTCTGAGTCTGGTAGAAAAGGTGTAACTGCTGATTCACCGAATCTGTGAAACGTTTTTATAAAACCTATACCATTTCATCCCGGTAGATATTCAATGCCTTCTTTTTAATAAATCAAACTTCGGCATAATTAAAAATAAGGCGTTGAATACATCTCGGGATGAATGGTATAGCTTTAAATCACCACTTAATTTCATTTAAACATTTACGTATTGCATAGTTTTGTACTAGCCCAACCG